TGTTTTGATACTGGGGATTGAACCTGGGGAGCTTTTACCAACTGAGCCATATTCCCTGCCTTTATTTATTTAGTTTTATTTTAAAGACAGGGTCTCACTAAATTGCTTAAGGTCTTGCTAAGTTGCTGAGGCTGGCCTTGAACTTGCCATCCTCCTGCCTCAGTCTCCCCAGTTCCTGAGATTACAGGCGTGTGCCACCACGCCCGGCTCTAGTCCAGCTTTTGAACATGGGTGCTGCTCTCACTGGATCCTCAAAACGAGGTTTTTCTCATCGATCAATTCAAATCAAAGCCTCCCAGGTCCCTTTGCAAGCTCAGTGTGCTTCTGGAAAGAGCAGCCTCCTAGAGCTACAAGATTCCCACTGGGGAGCCAGCCCGGGCTTCCAGAGAACCCCTTAGTGACATTCCCAAGTGAAGGCAACATTTACAAGTCTACTCACCCAGGGTTCCTTTTAGATTAAAACAGATCTGGTTCTTGCCAGAGACCAGCTGAATTCTGTGGAATTAGCTCATGGGCTGTACTTGGAAAATACTCATCGTGTATCACTTTTCTTAGAGATAAGACATTTCCTTTTCCCCCAAGGTGCCAGGATCTCTGCGTTGACATAATTCTGCACAAATCACTCTGGTGGTGTAACTTAGAGTGTCCCAATCCCCTTTGGACCCTGGCCTCTGTAACTGGGCCATCACTCACTTAGTCTCACCTTATCTTTAAATAAATGTAACCAGAAGGGACTTGTTCAGCTCGCCACCTCTTGAGTGATGTGAATTATTTATATGGTCTTCAGACGCATTCGTTAAGCCGCACAGAACCAAGTGCAGAGGAACTGTTTGTCTCTAGTTCCGCCAGAAGGGTAAGACCGCAAGGTCAGGGTGAGTAGCAAGAACATCCCAAAGATTTCCCCTGGCTTGGTCATGAAGAATAGGGATCACCTGGGGTTGTTGTCTTTGGCAGGATCCGGGGCAGTTGAGTTTCAGAGGGAGCTACTGAGGCATCCCATCAGGAAAAGATGGAAGCCCTGGGCCCTGGCCCAAAACCGCCTGACCCTCAGCAGTAAGCCCCGCAGTGCAGGCTCTGAAATGAGGGCCTCTCTGAGCTTCGAGAAAAAACATATGGTTAATAAAAGGAAGTGCAGGAAAAAACCTGCAGCTGCCTCAGAATTTCCATAAAGAAAATCAGTCTGGAATGATCCCTAACACAAAGGCACGTTCTGGTTAATTGAACATTCTGGTTAATAAAGATTGACCACATGGTACTGAGAAAAGGATGAGGTTAGGAGTTACAAGGGCTCTCCGGAAGCCTCACCTGGCTTCATCCGTCAAGGAAACACCATGTTGTCTGCCACACATGCTTGGTAGGAAGAGGAAATGGAATAATCTACCCAGGAGGGCTTTCTGAACTCCAAGGTGTGACGTCACTGTCAGCTATGCACTGATGTCATTGATGGGCAAATTTCAAACAATAAAATTCTGGGACTATCTTCTTTCCCTCAACCTTCGCCTGAGCCTGCTCATTTTCCCATGGGAATTCAGAAGGCATTTCTCCCACCCCACCCCACCCCAAGCTTCTAGCCCTGGCTGTGCCTCGTAATTACAGCCAAATAAACTTCCTGGGTATTTGAGATTTGTTTGCGATTCTGGTTTAACAAGAACCGTCCCTGATTCCCATGGGACCCTAGAAGAGTCAACCTGGAAGGGAAGCTAATGGGAATTATCTAGTCCAGATGGTTCAGTGTATCCCGTGGTGGAGTCTTTTCAGGGACCCTGGGTGGGATCAGGGGAAGCCAAGGGCTTTTGGGGGCTCCTGGTGTTATGAAAGATTCATCTGGTATGTTATGAAAGACTCTTTTCCTAAAAGGATTGCAAAACTAAAACAACTTTTAAAAAAAACCCAAGATAGTCTGCACACCTGGAAGAAAATTAAGGCTAGAGAGAAAGAGCTTTCAAAAGAGCTTCATCGACCTTGAGACTCTCTCCAGGACGCAGTCATTGCTTTGAGTGTCCTCTTGTATCTCCAAATGTCAAGCTGGAGTGTCTCAGTGGGAAGAGGCTGGGCCCACTGAGATTACCAGGGAGGGACTTGTCCTCTGTTTCCCGGGGGGGGGGGGGGGGGGGGGGGTGGTGGTGGAATAAAACGGGTTCTCCCAGATCTTCTATGTGCCTGAATATTTGGATTGCAGATTCTGCTTGACGGATGATGGGGTTACATCCTGAGGAATCTACCCAAACATGGAAAACATCATAATTCGAGAATGCATTTGATACCCCTAGCCTACGGAACATCCTGGCTCAGCAACACAGTGCACCTCTGTGCATTGTTTCCTCTTGTCATGGCTTGACTTGGAGCTGGCTGATCGAGGCTGCACAGCATCCCGAGTGAGTACCACATAACACTAAGCCAGGAAGAGGTTGGAACCCCAGAAACACCACTCCTCCCTAATGCATATTGTTTTCACATTCTCCTAAAGTTAAACACCCTAAGCCAAACCTTTGTATGTCCGGGAAGATCTGTGCTTCCATGTGAGGGGGTGGGGGGGCACCTGTCCTAAAAGGCATGCTCCTTATTGTCTCAGAATCTCGGTATTTCATGACATTCCACAAAAGCAACAGGAAGACTCTGAAACAGTCTAAGCAACCCATTGATACAGTCAAATATCTTACTGTATCTACTGGCATTTGCTTTCTGGTCACTGTGGAGTAACTATACCAAACACCTGGAGCTCAACTGCCTGGAACAGCCAATCAGGTGAGCTAAAGAGGGAAGGGGCCAGGCAGTGATGCCTAAATGAGGATCTACCATCTCTGTTGCTAGGACTGCAGCCCCCCAAGACTTGACCTTTCTGTTTTTCAGGAGAGACTGGGAGCTAAGTTTCTATATGATGTCTCCTGAATTTCAACCGTGTTCTATTTGAAATTCCTTAGGAACCCCATACGGGGCCAATGGTGCATGCCAGGGATTCATGCCATCATGAAGCACGGGCTTGCTACTTCTTTTTTGGTTGTATA